TGTCCTCCGTTCCATCACTTACCCAGTGTAAGTCCATGAAGGTAACGAGCTGCGTCTTGCGTACTGCTCAGAGACAGGTCTGGCAGTCCTAACTGAGCATGGCTTTTGGTTCTACCAGATACTAAAAATAATACCCCAAGCACTATAGCTCGCTTTCGGGTTTGTAGTATGAGGAGCGTGTCAGGGTACTCAGACTTACAATGGGGGTTAACATATTCACTCCTGGTACCATAACCACTACAGCGTACAGTGGGCAGAGTGCTTGGACTGTTAATGTAAATCCTCTTTACACCATCATACATCATATATAGATTAAGTGTGGTAGAAGCTACAGGATGTTAAAGTAAAGTTCAGTACTCACATGGTCACAACTACAGTGCAGCTATCTTGGGCCAGGGCGCATGTGTGGAATGTCAGGAACGCCCACTATTCGATAACATATGGAAGAGATCAGTTTCGTTTAATTATTGGATGGAACTCTAGTGATGTAGGTGTAATTTCTGTATTCTATGTGTACGTTTGGAAGACGTCATTTACAGTATAGAATCTTTGTGTGGAAAGTGACCAGTACATCGTGTTCTTTATGGTAAAGGTAATGGGACTTTGCAGCTGCAAAATAATCAATTAATAGCCTTTGTTCTTCAACCACCTGTGTCTGGAGTCCTTTGAAGTGATCCGAGTTGATACCCCAAAGTGCATAAAAATAAATAAAAAAAATAAATATATACAAAAACATGTTCACTATACATATTGCTAAGCTGAAACATGGAGCCTCGTTATCCACTTAAAATGGAAAAGGACTGTACAGGCTGGGGGGCGGGGTATTGATTATATTGTCAATATCTGGCGATACACTGATATGGAGCTCCATAATGCTATATTAAATAAAATGTTTGCTAAGGGCACCTTATTACATCTACTAAATCTTTATTACCTACTCACTGAAGAGATATCAACAAACATTCTTCTATACTGGAAATCTACCCCAGAGCTCCTGAGTATCTGCCCCTCTATTGCCTGAATCTGCTCTCCCATTCTGTGAATCTACCCCTGAGAATCTGTCCCTCTATTCCCTGAATCTGCTCTCCCACTCTGTGAATCTACCCCTGAGAATCTGTCCCTCTATTCCCTGAATCTGCTCTCCCACTCTGTGAATCTACCCCTGATAATCTGCCCCTCTATTCCCTGAATCTGCTCTCCCACTCTGTGAATCTACCCCTGAGAATCTTTCCCTCTATTCCTTGAATCTGCTCTCCCACTATGTGAATCTACCCCTGAGAATCTGTCCCTCTATTCCCTGAATCTGCTCTCCCACCCTGAGAATCTGCCCCTCTATTCCCTGAATCTGCTCTCCCACTCTGTGAATCTACCCCTGAGAATCTGTCCCTCTATTCCCTGAATCTGCTCTCCCACTCTGTGAATCTAGCCCTGAGAATCTGCCCCTCTATTCCCTGAATCTGCTCTCCCACTCTGTGAATCTACCCCTGAGAATCTGTCCCTCTATTCCCTGAATCTGCTCTCCCACTCTGTGAATCTACCCCTGATAATCTGCCCCTCTATTCCCTGAATCTGCTCTCCCACTCTGTGAATCTACCCCTGAGAATCTGTCCCTCTATTCCTTGAATCTGCTCTCCCACTATGTGAATCTACCCCTGAGAATCTGTCCCTCTATTCCCTGAATCTGCTCTCCCACCCTGAGAATCTGCCCCTCTATTCCCTGAATCTGCTCTCCCACTCTGTGAATCTACCCCTGAGAATCTGTCCCTCTATTCCCTGAATCTGCTCTCCCACTCTGTGAATCTACCCCTGATAATCTGCCCCTCTATTCCCTGAATCTGCTCTCCCACTCTGTGAATCTACCCCTGAGAATCTTTCCCTCTATTCCTTGAATCTGCTCTCCCACTATGTGAATCTACCCCTGAGAATCTGTCCCTCTATTCCCTGAATCTGCTCTCCCACCCTGAGAATCTGCCCCTCTATTCCCTGAATCTGCTCTCCCACTCTGTGAATCTACCCCTGAGAATCTGTCCCTCTATTCCCTGAATCTGCTCTCCCACTCTGTGAATCTACCCTGAGAATCTGTCCCTCTGTTCCTGAATCTGCTCTCACTCTGTGAATCTACCCCTGAGAATCTGTCCTCTATTATTCCTGAATCTGCTCCACTCTGTGAATCTACTGATAATCTGCCCCTCTGTTCCTGAATCACCAGCTCTCCACTCTGGCCAGATCTACCCTGAGTCTGTCCCTCCTGTTCCTGGTCTGCTCTCCCTCTGTGAATCTACCCTGATAATCTGCCCTCTATTCCTGAATCTGCTCTCCCACTCTGTGAATCTACCCTGAGAGTCTGTCCTCTATTCCCTGAATCTGCTCTCCCACTCTGTGAATCTACCCCTGAGAATCTGTCCCTCTATTCCCTGAATCTGCTCTCCCACTCTGTGAATCTACCCCTGAGAATCTGCCCCTCTATTCCCTGAATCTGCTCTCCCACTCTGTGAATCT